TATATATATATATATATATTAGTATTTACGTGAAAGTAACATATATGTTACTTATATGTTAACATATATGTTAACATATATTTTAGCAATAAAATAATAATGCAATTGAAAAAATGATAAAAATAGAATGTATTAATTATCCTTTGGCTTTACTAAATTTAGTAACAAGAAAAGTCAAAGGATAATTAATACATTCTATTTTTATTATTTTTTCAATTGCATTATTATTTTATAGCTAAAAAATCAGTTTGCATTAATTCCATCCTAATTGAAGTGTTTTGCAATAAAATTGGACAAATAGACTTCAAGTAAAACATGTCTCATTTTAAATTTAAATTTAAATATTAAAATTTCTTATCATTTTGTTACATTAAATCTTGAATGAATTGTTTGCCATAAAATCGGACAAAATAATAATTGCATAAAATTCAAGTAAAAACATGTCTCGTTTAAAATTTAAATTTTAAAACCTTATCATTTTGTTACAATTTCGATGATTTGTTTCCCATAACATTGGACAGAATTAATAATTGCATAGAATTCAAGTATGATTTCTAATTTATATCAAGTATTTTAATAAATGCATAGAATTTCAAAGATGTTTATTTATTATAAAAATAAATAAATTCTAAAAATATATTTGTATATATTTTGTAAAATATTTGTACAAAATGTTTTGCTTTAAATTTATTTACATAATTTAAATTAATTACAATAATAAATAATATTAACATACATTAATAACTTTAATTACATAAAACAAAAAGAAGAAGAAGACTACATCTATAACATGTATAAATAATAATAATGACATTATATTACAATAAGTTTTATAATAAAATAATATGAGTATTATACGAGGAACAAGATTACGTAAATTGTTATTTTTCTTATATCAAGGAATATATATATATATATATATATATATATATATATATATAATGAAATCAAATTTTTATTATTATAACCATGTTAGCTAGATAATATATTAATTAATTTATGGGCTAGTGCTACCAGACTCAAGTTTAATGTCCTGACATAAAAAATGAAGTTGATGAAAAGAGGTATAAAAAAAAATGATCAAACTCTATCATTTTTTAGGCATGAACGGACAAGCTCGATGGTCTACTCATTTAATATCTCCCGTGAATCGCACGAGCTACTTAAAGGACAACCATTGTGAAAATGACTCATTTAATACTTCTGTCCCGTGCATCGCACGGGCTACGTACTAGTTTGGTCTAAAGATTCGTGAAGATAAATTAATTGTTTTAATAATATACTAAAAAATATAAATGTATTAGTACAACTTTCAAAATATTAAAACTAATTTTTGTTGAGATAAATTTTGGTCTCAAAGACATGTGAAGATAAATTAATTATTTTAATAATATACACAAAGATATAAATGTATTAGTACAAGTTTTGTTTTGACGATTGGATAAATATATAAAAAAATAATCAACAGTAACATATTAACAACACGCACACACACACACACACTTAAATAGAATGATTGATTGATTAAATATATTTTGAATAAGATCAATAATATCAATTTCATAATACTTCTGATGACATAATTAAAAATAAATACTCATTATAATTATAAAAAATATTGTGATTAGTTTTGTTATCATCTCATGGTTGTAGATATGATTGTGATAATCAATCAAAAACACTTAAATATAACCCAAGAGAGCTTGGATGAGATGGCTTGGGTCTCTTCCAGCTTAACCAGTGGTCTCGTATTCGAGCCCTGGGAATGCAGCAGTGTTAAAAACTCTTGAGGGAGAGCTTTGCTGCCTTGTGGTCCTATCCGGGTCGATTCCGGATTAGTCGGTTCCCCTGTAGATCCGGAAACCGAAAGGTCCCTGTACCAAAAAAAAAAAAAACACTTAAATATAATAAAATAATAAAAATAATTATGTTTGAATTCTATTAGCTTAATGAAAGATTTAAAATATTAATAACTTTTATAAAATATAGTCAACTTAACCATGAATAAACTAAAATCTAATGAATATATATTAATAAATTATCTTTTTATCGTCGGGTAAAATCAAGTATTATAATTTTCACATTAAAATATCTATATACATAAAAAAATATTATTCAAAGTGTTAAAAATAAAATTTTTATTATTTATCTTTTTATGAAGAACAATGAGTAAATAAAATTCTATAGTCAAATAATAACTGAAATTATAAGATTTTATAGTTATTGGAATATAAAATTATTAAATTTTCTTATTAATTAAATTATTATATATGTTGAGTTAAATGAATTCAATAAATAAATAGATACAAAAAATATTAAAATACAAAATAAATTATTTACCATGAAAATTTTGCGTTGCACGAGAGATAAAAGTTACTAAAAATTAAAAGTTATTTATCATAAGTTAGTATTTCATGCAATTAGAGTGATTATAAATAAAAAATAATTTTATAGATTAAATGTTGGCCAGTTATCTAGCAATATGCAAAATGAATTGCTAAAAAAATTATAAGATTAATATAATCAATAATTATATAAGTATATGCAAGTAACTGGTATACAATCATTATTTTCTAAATCTTATATTTTTATAATATTTTATTTGATCTCACTAACACCATGTTCAAGAAGGTGAGGAATTTAAATAAATATTATACTATTACAAACTTCATATGTTGTGTCGAATAGAATTGACATATTATCTTAAATAATTTAATAATATTT